GAGAGGAGGAGCAGCAGCAGCAGCAGCAGCAGCAGGGACGAGGAGGAGAGCCGAACAAACCACCGCCACCGCGGCCACCGCCTCGGCGTCAGCGGCAACCACTGCGAGCTGCGGATACAACACCCGCAAGACCGCCAGCAACGCAGCCAAGGCTTCCGCGACAGCGGGCGGCGCGGTGGCGGGAATCGGAAGGGAACGTTCGGCAACGATGGGGGTGGTTGTGCGGGGTGGGGACCACAGCGGCGGCTGCGGCGGCGGCAACCGAAGCCGGGGTAGCTTGGACGACCTCGTGGACTCGGCACAGGCGGTGCTGGCGGCCAGGGAAGAGCTCGCAGAGCTCAGGGTTGCCGTGGAGGAAACGCGGGACGAGGTTAGAGCTGATCGGATGAAACTGGCATGTTTGTTGATGCTGTCTTTTTGGTGGAAGTACCGCCGTGGTTTTTCGTGCGGGGGAGCTCGCTTTAGAGAAGAGCTGCAGGCGCTTTGCGGCCTGGCTGACCTCGACCGACTTGCCCTCAGCCGACTTGAACTGTTTTTCTTGCTCTCGCGGCATGTTTCTGCGAGCGTAAAGGAGCACGCTCGCCCAACCCCAGCGCGGGTTGGCTGACTCCAACCTATAGCTAACCCTTCACTGCAACTGTTTCGCCTATGACCTCCTCTGCAGTGCCCAACAAACACCCCCTCGCTCTACTCCTCCTTCCCCTCCGCAGCTGTCGGCAGAGCGCGAGAAGTCGCGGGCCGCTCGGCGCCAGGCCTCCCGCCTCGAGTCTTTCCGGTCTTCTGCGGCGGTGGCGGCAACCCGGGCGAACCGCGACGCCGACAAGGCGAGAGCGGAGGCCGAACGCCTCGCGCTCGAGGCCGCCGCCGCAAGGGATCGAGCGGCGACGGCTGCGGAGCAGGAGGCCCGCCAGCTCTCCAGCCGCCGCTGCGCGGAGGAGGAGGCCGAGGGCGCCGCGGCGGCGGCGGAGTCGGAGCTGCTGGGCCGCCTGGGGTCTCTCCGCGGCGAGGCCGAGGAGCTCGAGGGGCGGCTGCGGGAGGCGTCGAGGGAGCTGGAGCGGCGGGAGGCGAGGGCGGCGGCGGCGGCGGCGGCGGCGGACCGGGAGGAGGAGCGGCTCGCCGACTGCCGTGACAGCTTCGGGCTGGAGATCGAGGGCCTCCAGAAGGGGGTCGGCGAACTGGAGGCCGAGGCGGTGGGGTGGAGGGGCGCGCTGGAGGCGGCCAGGTCGAGGCTGGAGGCGGAGGAGGAGCGGGGGCGGACGGAGCGGCTCGGGCTGCAGGCGGAAGTCAAGCGGCTCGGGGGCGAGCTGGACGGGAAAAAGAAGGAGGCCGGGGCGCTGGAAGCCCGCGTGGAGGCCCTGCGCGAGCGCCACCGGTCCGAGAGCGAGAGGTGCGCGCGGGAGGCGAGGCGGGCGACCGCGGAGCTGGAAGGCCTGCGGTCGGAGGAGGCGGAGGTGAGGTCCAAGCTGCGGGACGGCCGGGCCGAGCTGCTGGCCGTCGCCGCCGCTGCGGAGGACAGGGCCGCGGCGGTCGACGCGGCCGAAACCGCCGCCGCTTCCCTGGAGCGCCGCGCCGCCGAGCTCGGGGCGCAGGTCGAGGGGCTGGAGTTCGCGCGGGACCGGGTGGCGGAGGAGACGGAGGCGGCGCGGCGGCGGCAGGCGGAGGAGCTCTCCCGCTGGAAGGAGGCCATGGCTGAACGACAGCAGGAGTTCGAGAGATTCTCGCGGATGGTCAGGAGCAAGGCTTCGTCGCTGGGTGATCTGGAGAAGGAGGTGCGTTGGGGTGTTTGGTGGGGCGGGGAAGAGGTTACCATACTCGCCAGAGAGAGAGAGAGAAAGAGAGAGAGAGAGAGAGAGAGAGAGTACGCGCGTTGCGCCTCCCTTTTGGTCGGTACGATTACGCTCGTGCAGGTAGGTGTTGGGGGACTTTGCGAGATATGCCCGTCCACAACGAGTGCAGACCCCAAGGCGTGGCCTTTGGAGGAGTTGTTGATGACCCTTGGGCCGCGCGCTCACTCGGCTTTGTCCATACGTCATCTATCTTGTGTCCGCTATGTCCGCTACGAGAACCGTGCGAACGCCGGGTCGTTACGGCAATGTGGACCCCGGCTTTGTCCATGTGTCATCTCTCCGCCATCACAAGCACATTTCTGGGCTCCTTCCAGGGAACTTGGTTTCGCCCGCTGGCACTGACGTCTCATTGGTCGGCCGGCTGTTGTAGCACGTCCGGTGGTAAACTGAAACACACACAACCGCATGCGCCAATCTGTCTGTCTCTGTGTGTGTATGTGTGTGTGTCTCTCTCTCTGCCTCTCTCTCTATCTCTCTCTCTCTCTCTCTCTCTCTCTCTCTCTCTCTCTCTCTCTCTCTCTCTCTCTCTGTCTCTCTCTCTCTCTCTCTCTCTCTCTCTCTCTCTGTCTCTCTCTCTCGCTCTCTCTCTCTCCCTCTCTCTCTCTCTGTCTCTCTCTCTCTCTCTCTCTCTCTCTCTCTCTCTCTCTCTCTCTCTCTCTTATTCTCTCTCACTCTCTTTCTCTCTCTCTCTCCCACTCTCTCTCTCTCCAACGCGACCCATGCGTTTCCCTCCACACATACACACACACACACACACACCATACACGGCCGCTGCGCCTCAGGCAGAAGGCCGGGCCGCTCGCAGCCGACAGGCGCAGCGCGACCAGGAGGCCGCCGAAGCCCGCGCCGCCGCCGCCCTGGATGCCGCGCGGAATGCCGCCAGCCTCGCGGAGAGGGGAAGGGACAAGGCGGAGCAGGAGGAGGCTCGCGCGGAAGCGGCGGAGTCTAGGACGGTCCACGCCGAGGAGGAACTGCGCCGGGTGACGGCGGAGATTGGCTCGGAGAGAGCGTGTTTGGGTACGGTCACGCCTGTTGTTTGTTGTGGTTGTTGTTGTTGTTGTTGTTGTTGTTGTATTATTGTTGTTGCTGGTGCTGCTGGTGCTGCTGCTGCCGTTGGTTGGTATGCTTTCGCATCGAACACCGTTCTCCCCTCAACCGGCCCGGTATGGGCTAACTTTGCGTGTCGCCAGTAAGTCAATCGTCAAGGAAATTTCTTTGGGTTTGGCACCGTTTGGTGTTAAAATCTTGAACTGGTGCATTTGGTCAGGTGCGTGTGTGGTTAGAAGGCCCTTGGAAAACCGCGTAAGGAGGCAAGAAGGCACTTGTGCGTAGAAAACAAGAACGACCACAGAACAGGACAGAGGACACAAGCATGACCCCCCCCCCCCCCCCCCC